CGGGTGTTATTTCCACTGAAAGTATTACAATACGATTCGGGCCCGGGCGTCCTGTATCAAGATTGTATTCATATACGATTCGGGCCTCCGGCGTCCCTAATAGTGCCGTTTTTAAACATTGTTTTTTTCATAATACAAATATTCTTAAAAATCTAATATTGTGAAATAAATGTCGACAATTCTGTATTAAATACAAGGTTTTATCAGGGAAATAAATATAATAAAAAATATGACTAATTTTAAGACTAATAAAAAATAAGACTAATTTTTAAAAGAAAAATGTGTATTTTATTTATAAAAGAAATACTTGGACAAAATTAACAAATATGCATTTAAAAATTAATTTACATGATTTTCGTTGAAACAAGGTAAACAGTATCCTGGCTGACCTGTACAATCAGCGCAATAGCTGATTACTTTTCTAACTTTCTTATCCGCTTCTCGACTTGAAAGTGATTTCCGTAACATTGTATAACATCCTACACACTTTTTTCTTGGTTTGCGTCCTTTACCCTCCGGTTTTACAAATGTATGGATTTTTCGTTTTGGTGTTTTATTTATTTTATCTCCAGTATCCGTAGTAACTAACGACCGAGCTAATTGCCTTCTAAATTGCATCATAGACAACTTTTTTCCTGTGGCTAACTGAAAAACAAACCATGCATTTACAACACACGTTCCAAAAAGCAACTCGAAACAAAGCTTTCGATACCATTTTAGCGATTTCCTCAAAACCGTAAAATAGGCGGACATTTGATCACTTATATCCACACCTTTTTTAGCTTTATTGTAATCAGTAATACATTTTGGTTTTTTTATTTCATTCCCTTTTCTATCTTTTTTACCAGTTTCTACAAGAATCGCCTCATGTGTGGCATCAGATGTGATCATCAAAACTGGTCTCTTATCTATCCACTTTATTATTCTTAAATTCCCACTTTCTTCTCCATACACCTCAGATTTTTTCATCTTTCTTTCAAAAGATTTTGGAATCCCTTTTCTATTAGATCGAAGTGTTCCGCAGTATTTAATATTTCTTTGATACAATTCCTTCACTAAAGGAATGCTGGAATAGAAATTATCAGCGTATAAGGTTCTGCCCTCCTTCTGGTCTAAACTTAAAATTAATTTTAGTACAATGTCTTCTGAATGACTGTTACTGCTAATATTAACCGGATCGCAGTTTTTACCTGCATAAACTATCACATTGTGCGTATACCCATCTACTGTACATAATTTGTATAGTTTGATTCCATTATTTATGTGTTTTATTCGGAATGTATTGTTTGAATAACAATCTGCCTCTCCAAGGAATCATGCTTTCATCTATATATAATCTCTTGGCCAGGTGTCAAGACAGACTTAAAGTTTTCCAGCAGTATATCGAGCAATGGTTTTACTTTGCAGAGCCTATTTTCACTGGCAACCATGTTATCGGAAAAATGTAGATATTTGAGCAATGTTAAAAATCTATCACGGGGCATGATGGAACTTACAAATGCATTGTGAAACATTTCGTCTCTACTCCAATAAGCACTAAGTGTCGGCAAAGGAACTAAGCCCATTGTTAAAATTATTGCGAAAAAATGATAAAATTTCATTTTATCGGTATCATTCCATTCAACTCTTTTCTTATTTTTCTTGGAAATATCTAATTTTTGGATTGCATACATATTAGTTTCTCTAACAATCAGTTCCAAAACATCGTCGGTTAAAAAAAGTCTGTAAGCGTCTAGCGGTTCTTTGATATTTTTCATATTAACATTTAACTTTTGTGTAAAAATTTGTTACAAATGGGTCGAGTTTCGGAAAAATAGGCCCCATAGGTCACATTGTTGACTTTGAATGTTAGTGACATTTTGCTCAGAGTATTGATTATCTTGATCCCCTGCATCTGAGACAGAAAATAAATCTGATTCTGTTTCAGAAATTGACTCTTCTTCAGAAGACGGCATGTAGTTTCTATCTATTATAGAATCGTCACTAGAAAATAGGCTCATCGTCTGAGTCACCTCAGACAGGTGACTCGTCATAATCTACTAGTTTCTGTACAATGACTTTTGGTTGAGAAGATTGGTTTTCTTTTTCAGTTTCAAGAGCTAGGTTTAATACTTTTGGTCGCTCTTCTGTTCATTTTTGAAACACTGGAACAAAAATACATTTGTATAAAATGCAAAGTGCAATGAAATAAACAATTAAAAGTTTATTTTACAATCTAAAGCATCTTCACACACACACACACACACACACACACACACACACACACCATATATATATATATATATATATATATATATATATATATATAATATATATATATATTTTATATAGATTCTACCTTGTGTCTTACAAATAGAATCATACAGTATTCAATTATGAAAAAATGGAAAAACATCTGTGTCTAAAATGGTTTAGATTGCAAAATAAACCAAAACATAGTAATTTGAATGTATTTTTGTCTAAAAAACTATAAATAAATATATAGGTACTAATAACTTACCTTCAAAGATCAATACAATACTGCAGTTTTGACAAAAAACTTAAAAAGATCGGAAGACCTCCGCGGTACGTACCGTGTTACGATCAAAATTATTATCATAATACGGCTAGGGTCTCCCGGGTCCCGAACTTCATTTCGGTTACTATGAGATTTGCCGCGAAATTTTACACAAGGCGCTCTTTGAACTATCGACATCTGTTGACTAATAGTGGAAATACGCCTTTCGAATATTGGGAAAGTCAAGAAAGATTACTACAAAAATTTTAGATCATGACATGTACAGGACCTCGGGGTCCCGAACCGCCGTGAAGGTGTTAAAATCAAACTGTTCCCCAGCATCACAAATTGTGTTTAGTAGCGTGTGCAGGTCGTTCAGCGATAATGACTGTATCGTTGGCATTACAAATGTTATTTATATTTTTATCATTTATCTTAATCCCTTCTGTACTGTTTTCAAGAGCTTGCGCAATTGACACATTTTTAATTCCTTGGTTTGTCGGTCTGTTATAAAATAAAACACTTAATTATTGCTTAAACGTTTCTTCTATTTTCCATTTTCAATAAGCACTACATTGTTCTAAACGATTACATTCATCATCATCATCATGCAACCTCTTCTGTCCACTGCTGGATATAGGTAGCTGCTTATATATTTGTTTAATGTCGTCTATTCAGCGTGTTGGTGGTCGTCCTCTGCTGCGTTTATCTTTTCTTGGGCGCCAGTCAATTAGTTTTCTGGTTAATCTTAAGTTTTTAGTCTCGCTATGTGACCTGCCCAATTCCATTTCAGCTTGGCTATACGTTCGACGACATCAGTGATACCTGTCCTTTTCCTTAGATCTTGGTTCCTTATTTTGCCTTTTTTTGCCCATACGAAGAATCGATATGTCCATGCGTGTTTGTGCCACTGTTTTACATGAGAAGTATAAATAAATCGTTCTTTTTGTTTGTAATTAGGTTTATTAACACATCATTTAAACTGAACTAACAATACATAAGGATAAAATAAAAAACAATAGGATTAGGAAAATTTAGATCACATTGTTCATCTCATTTTCGTCTTTATTATTATTGTCGTTATCTTTTTACATGTTATCTTCCAATTCTTCACTTTGTTGAAGATTATTGTAAAATTGGTGATGGCATGGTAGTATGAATTGTAAAAGTTTTCTTGGCTTAATTTTCGTCCTTCAGGGTAAAGAATGTTAAGTTTAAACAAGCTAGGTTTACAGGTCGGCCTTTCAATCTCTTATTTAGATTTACTGAATAAAATTGTGTTTCATTGTTATGTGTGTATTTAAATTCCATAACTCCTGGATGATGTTGACTTAATTTCATTTGATTTATTTTCAACCATCCTCATTTTTGTTCATCTGAGTCTTTTTGCGATTTACCAGATTTTGTTTTATTGCATCAATCCTCTTTTTCCCTGCATACTACTTTAAATTTGTTCTTTTTAACTCTTGAGTTTAAAATTATGTTATGCCATTGTGTAGGCACATAAATTTCAGGATGATATTTTAACTTTTTTTCTATATCACCAAAATCGCTATTGTTTTGTAGACATGAATGTCCTGGCTCAGCAAACTTATGAACTACTTCCTTAAGGTTTAAATTAGGGCACTGCACTATATTCATCCGTAATGCGGCAATATTAATATTGCGGTTTTGGCTTCCACATCAGTCGGACCAAGCAATGAATATGTCCTTATGATCATGGGTGTTTATGAATTTTAAAATACATGATCCTATTTCCTGGGAATCTCGTGAGGCAGTGCTCTCATCTTAAACATGCATTGTCCCGACATCATTTTCAAAATTATGTTTACCAAGATTATAATATGAAAGCTGCATCTTATAGTAAACAACTCCTGTGATTAATTTAGAAAGAAGCATTACTTTCTGAAGATCAAAACTATTTATTGTAGCTTTCCCTTCTTTACTAATCTTTACTTCTTTATTTAGTTCTGAGCGAGCTAACTGTACTTTTCTGTGGTGTAGTTCCTGGTTTAGTTTCTTAGCCCTTAACATTGTTTCATCTTTGTTTTACTCAGCTGCCTTTATTTCAATGCTCAACCTGTCACATGTTTGACAGATATAGACATATTCGTGGAGGTGTACAACTAAGATTAAAATCACGATTGACAACTTTTTCATAGAGCGATTGGCTTGAAATTTTGTTGACATTTTTCTATCTTAAACTATCAACATAGAGTCTGTATATTCGAGATAAATTTAAATTACAATCCAAGTATTTTTTTGGGATTGAGTTCTACAGTAATGACTTACTATGGTAGGAAAACTTTGTATGTGATATTTTATTCAATCCATTATGGATGGTGAAGTTTTGTTGAGGCACTTTTTTTCTTAAGCAAAGCACGTGTACTCTAGTACTATTGATTCGTAATATTTCCATAAACATTTATTTGCATACTTTAATATCTCCGTTTTTATAAGGGATATAAAATTCACAATTTAATGTTTTTTTTGCAATTTCATTTCATTTTATTTTGCAATTGCAGGAATAGTCATTAAAAGATTTAGAGTGTATGACAGTATCTGAAGTATTGACATATTCTTTATCAGCTGCTCTTTTTTGCTTAGATTTTATTTTCTTGTCTGATCTCTGGTATTTCTTCATCTATAAAACACAAAATTATTAATATTTTATATACGTACATATTTTACAAGTAACATTACTTTTTTATGTTATAATACATAAAAAATACTTTCAACCACACATTTACTATGCATAAGACAGACAATTTGCATTTTTAATCCTTTATAAAAGGTATATAATAAAATTCCCAAACGGGCTATCACAATTACATTACAAAACGTTTTCGGATTGTTAAATCCATCATCAGTGTAAACGAGGTATACATGCTATGAGCCACCAAAATATATGGGTAATATGGGTATATCATGTATACTTCGTTTACACTGATGATGGATTTAACAATCCGAAAACGTTTTGTAATGTAATTGTGATAGCCCGTTTGGGCATTTTATTATATACCTTTTATAAAGGATTTGAAATTAATTTTTTGTGATATATGGTATACAGTGAGCTACAGGAACTTAGTTTCCTAGTGGAAATTTGCATTTTCTTTTGCCAAAGTGAACTATGTGATTTTAATTTTTTTTACAATTCCAATACAAAAATGATGGGATATAATGCTTCATACTAATATAGATACGTAAAAACCATATTCGTACGTTGTTACAACTGCTAATATTTTACTAGCGCTCCTAGCGGATACTGAAAGAGATATATTTTCAGATGGTTCACTTTGACAAAAGAAAAATTCCAAAACATATCCATACTTTTATAATAAAGTTTTATGGTAATAATTATTATTATCCTACCTGATTTTATAATATCCCAATCAGAACTTCGATGGCAATCATCTGAAAACCACTACTCAAATCAGCGAGTTCATCTTCACTAGAATGTCTGTCGGAGGACAGACGGAAGAAGAGGCCCAGGCCGTCGAAGAACATCCTGGCTACGAAATCTCCGAGAATGGTATCAAGAAACCACCTTTAATTTATTTAGAGCCGCCGTGAAAAAGGTTATTATTGCCAATATGATCGCCAACGTTCGATAATCGGACAGGGCACTGAAAGAAGAAGAGAATGTCTGTCAACAATGTTATGACAATGTAAACTATGTGCACGAGAAGGTATCTTGGACTGAATGATGGTTCACTGTGGGCTGTGGCATATGACAACCAGTACTACCACCCTTGTGCTAAATAAAATTTATTAGTTTCCAGCTGATGTTTGTTTTATTCACATAGCTCATTTTGGCATAAGTTTAGTAATGAAAAAGTAAAAACAAAGAAAATGTACATAGTTCACACTGGCATGACACCACTCAAATTATCTGACGGATTTTCAGCCTAATACCCTCAAAAAATTGAATATAAGCACCAAAAAATATAAAAAACGTCAAGGTAGTTATGGCTAAAAGTGCATAATCAGCCGCATCCCCTGGCTTCAAGAGTAAAGGGTAATTTGTAGAGCTAGCAGTTAACAGTATAGAATAAAAACGTAGATATAATGAGAAAGCAATAAATTCCTGAATAAAACAGGATAAAGAGTCCAAAAATCTTTTTATGGTACAGTCAGAGATTGCTGGCCCTATAATATAAAATAGAATATATGAATAAACGAAATCTAGGGACTCCATCTCGTATAAGGATAAAATTAAAGCCAATGGTAACAAAGAAACAATTAATTTTTAGTGCTCTCAAAATTACCAAAGTTGAAGACAATTCAGAAACATATCGTTATATAAATAGGGTATTCTGTTCATTTCTTCATGTACTTCCATAATCTCAAGCAAACATTTTCTAATATTCCTTTAACGATCCCATGACGGAAAATTGCGCTTCTATTTTAGCCTGTTACTTTGCAAATCAACTTATGGTTAATTTACAACTTCTTCGAACTCAATCACGCTAGACTCAAACAGGCATCCCTTTAGAGGGAATATTAAGAAGCTATGATGACGGTGATTGCTCCCACGAAGTTTAATATTACTCTCTCCTAAAAGATTTATCATTTTGAAAGCTGCGACAGTATTCCTGCCACGTATCGTCGTAATGAAAAAAATTTACGAGGATTTCCTCGAATATTTCCAATTTTTCCGACTGGTGTCATTTATCTGTTTGTGCAGAAATAAAATATGAAATGAATTAGAATTGGCAACGAAAAAAGTAAATTTTGTGCGTGTTTCATTTAAAAGGGTTTAAATTTTTTTTAAAAATGTTTAATGTACAGATTCAACAAAAAAAAAATTCAAAAATATTATAACACCAAAAAGAGTTTTCTATTTGCTCTCAAAATCATTTAGTCTGATAGTGAAAACGACAATTTATTGTTTCAAATGTGTGACATTTATATATCGTCACAGTACAACCAACTACATAGAAAGTCCTTAAATATAATTTGGGAATTATTTGGAAATATATACGGTTTTCCAATACGGACTTCCAAACTTTGACAACGGATAGTGGCAAAGCTAGATCTGTTAAATTTGCTGCCAGATTACCAAGGATGGATATATCTTCCAACAACAAGTGCAAAGGATAAAATTGTTTTATCAAAATTGGTAGATAAATTTAACTTGACTAGTTCAGTAAGCAATCAACTAATACCTGTGGGTCGACGTAGTTGACTGGTTGAGTAAATGATCAACTAATACCCATAGATCGAAAAAACGAAGGCTCTGCTGAAAACATCGACGCTCTCTGTAAGAGTCTACAGGAGAATTCGAGGCAATCTATTTCACGTCGCTATTAAAACCTCGACCTTTGACAGACTACAATTTCGCGAATTTTGGACAAATGTGCAGATGAGATCCAAGAACGTCCAATGCATTCCAAGGAAGTCATTGTTTGGAATGGCAGCATTATCTATCCAGAGCTCTTTGGGAAAGACTTTGACCAGAACTGAGCGAAGATGCAGGTGTGTTTCTCCTTACACCTTATCCTGATGGCTTTGTTTCGCGCACCAGTCATAAGTCGCTGTTTTTGTCCCTTGGAGAACCAGGTTTTTCCTTAGGGAAATAGGTTCACTTTGTATACTTCTTTGAAGGACCACCCAGAAAACCAGGACAAATGAAAGATTCGAAAAGAACGTTTGTAACAAGTTTTAACAAGTTTTAACAAGTTTTAACAAGTTTTAACAAGTTTTAACAAGTTTTAACAAGTTTTAACAAGTTTTAACAAGTTTTAACAAGTTTTAACAAGTTTTAACAAGTTATTTAGAGATAGATGATTTATCTTAAACTTTATGAAACTATAAAACTAGATAACTTTTTGGTGATACAATATTGACACGAACTAAGTAAACTTATTATTATCCCGACTATGTTAAAGCTTCTGAAGTGCGGTTAGCGCGAGTAGAGCCTAGCGCTCATCCAATGCCGGATTTTGAACTGATACTGATCTGACCTGCGAACTGATGTCCACTCTCTCCCTTCAATCACTACGCTCGTAATTGTTTCTAAACATTTAGAAATCTCCCCCCTGAACCCCTCGACGTATTTAAAGGATATGTTTACATTTCAAATACCTTCGACTTTGAATTCATTGGTAAAAACTACCTGAGAAGGGTATTGGTCTCAACTTTCGGAATTTTCGAGTGAGTCAAACCGATCATTTGGAAAATACTAATCCTTTCATTTTTACGATTCTATGAAGGTTTTAAAAACTTGTGTCTGGAAAGTTATTTGAATGCAAGCTATCGGCGCCTTACAGATTATTAGATGGTACAAAGGAATTTTATAAATCTAAACTTATATAGAGTGTTATATAACAATATGATACAAAATTAAATAAAAATATTAAATATTTTTGTTGCACAACAAGGACATCACCGTCAAGAGCGAACGTTAAGGTCGATGATTACCAATTAATTTTGTCCTGAAGTGCATGATATAGACACCAATGACATGTGGCTTCGACAAGACAATGTTACGTATCACACAGTTTATGCCAAATTGGGCATTCTATACGAGCGATTTGTGGGCATGGTCAAATCACATGGGAGTGATATGAATTGGCCAGTCAGATCAGGCAATTTGATTCCTTTAGATCTTTTCTGTAGACCAAAAGCTTTTGTAGATTAATTTTTTTACTTATTCACGATATAATTTTATGAAAAGTTCTAATATTGTGTATTTGTGGTGTCGAGCTCCTGCGCCGATTGGCCTAATTTAAAGCGATTGGGGCTAAATTGAGCAAAAACCGTAATGTAGAAAAGAAAAAAATTGGTTGACTGACAGAGTACAACAAAAGACGGCGTCTAAACTCTACTACTAACAAAAAATAATTAGTAATAATCTTCGTAAAAAAACAGATTGCTTTTAAATACCATATCTGTGACACATAATTTTTGCTGACTCTATAACGTCGAGCAAGAGGTCTTTCTATTAACTAATGTATTGTTTGTTTTTCTTCGAATCTAAACCATGCAATGTTTTTGGTTAAAACGATGTTATTTACAAGCTTCTATTTTAATAATTAAATGTAAAATACATATTCAAAAAAACCGTGTGTGGGATATTTCACATATACAGGGTGTTTCAAAAAGGTATGTCATAAATTAAATCACGCATTTCGGGGATAAAAATAAATTGATTAAAAATCCAACTTACCTTAGTACAAAAGTGTACACAAAAAAAGTTAAAACCCTTTGAAGTTACAAAATAAAAATTGATATAAGGTTTAATGCTCCGGAGACAATTCTGTTTTCGGCTTCTATAGACAATGTAGCTTCTTCGCCTATTTTCAAAAATTTTAAAGTGTTTGTTCGTCCTTGTGTAGTGTATTGTAATGTTCCATTTTATGTTTATGACATTTTACTCTTATCAAATAGGCCGCAATTGAGAAAATGCCCATGAAGATGAGCTAGGGATCGAAAGTACTTGGGCAAGATTAAATTAATACTGTGCTCGATATTTGTCTTTTATATTATCAAAAAAAAATTGTTTTTTTGCATTATCTCCTAAACTACTTACCATTTTGTATTAAAACTGGACACGTTACTTTCTTGTTCTGAAAGGATTTTTTATACAAAAGAAACAACAAAATCTAAGCACACAGAAAAATTTTAAGGGGGTGTGCAGCTTTAAATCCCCCCAAACTTTTGGGTACGTTTAAATCAAATGAATTTTGAGGCATCATTGGTTTTTGCCTCCTATCACTTTTTCGAAAAAGTAGTTGGCCTAGTTTTTCCTAGTTGGTCATACAATTACAATTAGTTTCTACGGATACAATAATTAAAAAACAGTTCCATCACTAATAGTCAATAATTTGAAGCTATCATTTATTGTGTGAATAAGATTAATATTAAAAATTTTGATATTACAATGACCTACACATTTCAGGAAATGGCAGATATGCATTTAACTTTAGTTAAGCTGGATCACATTAAATTATTATTTCAATAAACAATCGGGAATATCGTGGTGAATGTCAGGAAAGTAGTGCAGCAGCCGCAAGGCGTTATGCAGTAAAATACCCAAATCGAAATACACCCGATAGACGATTATTTTTGACCATTGATCGTCGATTACAGGAAACGGGTACAATCCAACCGCAAGTTGCTGGCAATAGTGGTCGTCCAATAACGGATGCAACTGATGAAGACATTTTAGAAAGCATTGAAGAAGTCCCTGGAACAAGTACAAGGGTAATAGCTGATCAAGTAATGTTCCTCACGTAAGGATTTGGAGGCGTTTGAAGGATCAGCTGCTTAAACCCTATCACATAACAACGGTTCAAGAGTTATTGGTTGAAGATTATCCTAAAAGCATTGGATTTTGCGATTGGTTGTTAACACTCGAAATGTTAATTTTATTAGAAATATTTTGTTTATCGACGAGACTACCTTCAGTAGAAATGGAATTGTAACATTTTTTTATATAATAAATATATTAAATTATTTTTAATTCCCATTCACCCATGTGGATGATACGCCGATGATCGTGTGTACGATTAGAAATATTTATGACGGAAGAATTTACCTACCAAAATATCACGGAATTTCCCGTAGAAATTACTTTTAACGAGTACGAAAGGTTTTTAATCCTTTCCGTCTTAATCCTGAGTATGAAAGGAACTAATGCTTTTCGGTGAAGGCGGGTTCCTTTATGATAGATTTGTAAATATTCCGAAGGCACGGAAGGCATATAGTAATTTTTCGGAAAAACCTAATCTAGAAGATTTATAATAATTGATGGATTCGACCGTAATTTGATGGAAATTCATTTTGTGTAACAATAAAACTAATTGTTTTATTTTCTCTAAAACTCTAATTTTCTCCTGAAACCCTAAAAAAATTGAGTGGCGCCCTGTTTCTATCTTATTGTATCTTTGGTAATTTTACCCATCTATCTTTTTGTTTATTTCTGTACCTTTTCTGATATATCTTATCTTGTTCTATCTTTACTTATTTCGTCCGTTGGACCCATTCCCGGTTCCAAAAGCTAGTTTCGAACCCACGACTCGCTCTGCACCAACCATCTGGCTGCCGTCCGCAGTGTCTCCATTGCCTTTCTAGTACCATCCAAAAAGGGTTTCCGAGGTTACAGAATAACAAACCATCATAACGAGCACATTTGGGCCGACGAAAATCCTCACGCCAAAAAAACGACTCATCACCAAACGACTTTCAGAGTTACTGTTTGGGCAGGAAATTGTGGATAACAATCTAATAGGCCCAGTATTTCTTCCCAGCAATTTAAATTGTGATAATTATAAGAGTATTTGGAAAAAGTGAATATTGCAATAAGACAAAATATGTGATTTCTACAAGATGGCGCACCACCGCATTACAGTCATGAAGTCCGGGAATACCTTTCCAGGCAGTATCCTGCTCGGTGAATTGGAAGGGGTCTTGACGCACCTATTTCTTGGCCACCGAGAAATCCAGGTCTTAACCCATGGAATTTTGCTTTTGGGGGTTTATGAAAGAGAAAGTGTATTCTGTAACAATAGAGGACGAACAACAATTCGGAAAACCGAACGTATTCGGTTTTCCTTATTAAAACGATACCGAATGTGTATTGAAGAAGATGGGGATCATTTTGAACATTTATTATAATTTTTTATAGGCATTGCCAATTCTCATGAAAGACTTGGCAATAAGTTTAAAATCAGCTCTGTTTTCCCTACCAACATATATAGATCGTTCACATTATTTTATGCCTTGTTCATACTCCTTTTGTTCAAAATAAACAGCAGCTAAATTTTTGTAAAAAGTAATGTCGGTAGGATCATGTTCAATAGCCTTGTTGTAATGTATAATAGCATTTTCAAAATCTTTCTTTTTGTAGAAGTTGTTACCCTGTTATTTTTCATTTTTGCTAACCTTTTATTTTCTGGTAGTTCGGGTTCTGCTTCCTTCTTAGGCTCTGGTTTTGGTTCAGGTTTCTTAGGAGGTGGCGTATACGCTGGTTCAATATCCATAGGTTCATCAGATTTATTACAATATCATATTTATTGTGATTATAGACATTTTTTGTACTTGTTAATTCATTTAAGCTGTTTATTTAGTTGTATGTAATTTTTTAAAGGTTAATGAAAAGGGCCGTAACTCAATAAAAACTGTTTTTTGAAAAAAATTGATAGGAGGCAAAAAAGTTTTAAAAATAACGTGTCAAACTAATGATGCTACATCACACTTTTATTACAAAATGTCAGTTAGTTTAGGAGATAATGCAAAAAAACAATTTTTGTTTTGTAACTTCAAAGGGCTGTAACTTTTTTTGTGTACACTTTTGTACTAAGGTAAGTGGGATTCAATCAATTTATTTTTGTCCCCAGAATGCGTGATTTAATTTATTACATACCTTTTTGAAACACCCTGTATATCTAGATACCTAAACAAAAGGATCTTAATTTTAATCCAGTCTCCGTATTAATGAAAAATGCGTGATGATAGTATAAATTAATAATCGTGAAAATCTCCAGTCTTTTTAATTAGACTCATTCTAGCAAATTAAGTCGTAGGATTGCTCTAAATTACATAGTTTGTCATGATTTCAAAGCTGCTTTGTAACAAGCGAGCAATTAAAAACTACTCATTTTAAAAACAGTTTTCGACGTCTCAGAAGCTTGAAAATTAATATGCCATAGAAAATATAACCTTGAAGATCTGGCGTTAATGCCAAAAGGAAAACGAAACGAGATTAGAGTATGCGAGAGAGGAAATAGTGGACTCGCGACAATAAAATAAAAACTAAGATTTCCAACAAGTTGGATGTTCGCTTTCTTGCGAATAAAACAGAACAACGCTGCTCTATTTCTTGCATACACAGATTTGCTATTACCGATGACAGTGGCGAATCCATCGGTGCTCCTTTTACTTGTTGTTGTTTATATCTTTGTTAGATTTAGTAGAGTAAGTATCATGTGGTATTGGATACTTTCTGCTTATAATTTCTAATGATTCGTTCTATAGGAACATTCGTGAAAAGCGAGACCATATCTACATCGTGCTATTTGTACCATATCGCCCATCCATTTATGTCTTCTATATCGTATGCTCTTTTTATGTTTTCGCGTCCCTCGCGACTCTTCGTGAGTATTTTCACCTCTGTTGTTTTTAGTAGTGGTCTCGTTTTAGATGTGTCAGGTCTTGTCTCCGCCGTGTATGTTAATATAGGTCTAACTGCTGCTTTATAAATTCTTGTTTTTGTGTCTTGTCTTAGATGTTTGGTCTTCCAGATTGTGTCATTAAGAGATCCCTCCGCTTTACTTGCTTTTGAGCTTTGTTGTCGTACTTCTTCTTTAACCTCTCCGTAACTTGTTATATCTATTTCCAGATATCTAAACCTTCTTCTTCTTTAAGTGCAATCTCCACGACGAAAGTTCTCAATCATCATGGCTATTCTGTCCTTCGAGGCATTTGCTCTGAATAATTGCCTTGAGCTGTAACCAAACCATTCTCTTAGGTCCTTCAACCAGAAAACGCGTCTTCTTCCTACGCTTCTCCTACCCTCAATATTTCCTTAAATTATGGATCTCAAGATGTTGTACATTTCGCCTCTCATCACATGTCCGAGATATTGCAATTTACTACCACTACTATCGGTTTATAGCGTTCTCCGACGCCTTCCGACTCCTAACCGACATTCTTCTCTATTCAGCCATAAGCCTGGAGGGATTTCTCTTTCCTCTAGTTCTTTTTTAAGCTCTTCAGCTTCCCTCTTCCCAGCTTCTTCTCCACCTTCCTCCTTTCCTTCTCACTTGTGGTGTCCACGTCAAAATCTGCTTTGGAATCCTGTCATCTGGCATCTCTGTATCAACTGTTTTATGTCATCAACTATTGTATACTTGACTCCCATCATTTCCCGTATTCTCTCATTTGGTATTCGATCTGTTCTTGATTTGCCTGATGCTCTTTTCCAGAAGTCCAGTTCTGTTGCTAGTAACAGTTTCTCTGTTCTTTGTTTCATTGGCCAAACTTCACTGCCATATTTGATAACACTTTTAAGTATAGTGTTGTATATGAGTTGTTTGTTCGCTTTAGATATTGTTTGGTCCCACAGAATGCCGTTCATCATGGATATGGCTTTTCTACCCTCTATGTTTCTGTCTTTTATAGCAGCATCGAGTGTTCCATCTTGAGTTATCTTCATACCCAAGTACTAATATTCATCACAGTTTCTAATTTCTACCCCAACGTCTAAGATAATGGACTGTTTTGTCCCTCCAATACACATGGCTTCAGTTTTCTTAATGTTGACTTCGAGACCCCATTTGTTATATTCTTCTATTAGCTTTCGAGTCATGTAACTCAAGTCGTCATGATCCTGGACAATCAGTATTTGGTCATCAGCGAAACATAAGGTGTACAGTGTAGTCTCGTCATTGAGAGAAATTCCCATGCCATTATATTTTCTTTTCCATGATATTGCAATTTCCTTTCTTTTATTGTATTTTCAATTTCCCTCTCTCTGCCTATTTTCCTTAACACTTCTGTAGTCGTGACTATATCTACCGATGGAAACCTTAACAATCTTCTAAATGTCGACATTTCAAACTCGTTAAGTCGATTTATTGTATTCCGGTTTAATGTCCATGATTCAGCTCCTTAGTATAGTACACTGTGTACATAGCATTTAATTAGCCTTATTCTGAAGGCCAATGTCAGATCTTTGCTGCATAAAATCTTTTTCATTTTCACGAAGTTGGCACGTGCTTTTTCAATTCTGACTCTTCTTTCTGCAATATAATCGTTATTTTATGATTATCGTTTCCAAGTAAGTATATCTTTTTACTGTCTTAATCTGTTGGCCGTCTTCTGTTAATATTTTGTTTGTATTGTTGTTCTTTGAGTATTTTCATGAATTTGGTTTTTTTGATGTTAAGAGAGAGTCCGTATTCTCCACTATATCTTAATATTTTGTTCATTATTCTTTCTAAGTCTTCCAAGTTGTCGGCTATATGACTGTATCGTCGACATACCTAATATTCTAAATTAAACCTCCGTTCACTTTTATGCTGACTATCTCGTTTACCAAAGCTTCTTGTATGATTTCTTCAAAATAAGCATTAAACAATAACGGCGACAGTATGCAACCTTGCCTGACCCTCTCCTTATCTCCACTTCTTCTGACACTTCTCTTCCAATTTCTACATTTGATCGTTGGCTGTAGTATACATTTGATATTAATGTTATATCCTCCACATTCAGATTCTTGTTTTTGAGTACTTCTATAAGTCATGTTTTACATTATCGAATGCCTTGTTTTAGTCTATAAAGCTACATAAAGATCTTGATTAACATCCAAACATCTTTGGGTCAGCACGTTAAAAGAAAATAGTGCCTCTCTTGTGCCCACTCCATTCCCAAATCCAAACTGGGAATCACTAATATCCATCTCCAACTTAGCGTGTATTCTATTTATGGATGATTTTTAGCACGGTTTTTAATGTATGTGACTAGACTGATCGTTCGATAATCACTACGTTCTTTGGCATCTAAGCCTTGCTTTATTATTTTATCATCAATTTCAATTTTTCATCGTAGTGGGTATTTAGATGTCATACATTTGGTTTTTTCTGCTGATATTACCATAGGTATTGTATTTATTGGCTGTTGTATTGAAAATGTGTGTTAATCTTTGGAGCTCGTCTTCTGTCTCGGCGATTAATGTGGCGTTGTCTGTATAGCATAACATTTGGATTTTTTGTTTCCCATTCTGTAACTATGACCTTTACGTACTGCTTGTATTATTCCGTTCATTATTATATTAAAGAGAAGTGGGCTTAACGAGTCGCCTCGTCTGACTTCGCTTTGTACCGGTATACACTGTGTTAGTTTTCCTTTTATCTCTGACTGTATTCGATTATAGAACTAGATTTTTTCTATGGTTTTTATAATATTGATTGATATGTTTCTTTTACGACACCTTTTACGACAAAGGGGAGATTCCAGAGGAATGGCTTCGATCGACCTTTGTAGCCATACCTAAAACACCAAGTGCAAAACACTGTGATCAACACCGCTTAATAAGCTTGATAAATTACATTACCAAAGTTTTCACCAAAATCATACACAATAGAATATATAACAAATGCGAAGCAAATATATCGGAGTCACAGTTCGGATTCCGAAGCGCATTGGACACAAGAGAGGCGATCTTCAGTCTGCAAGTTTTAATTCAAAGATGCAGAGACATGCACAAGAATGTCCACTTGTGCTTCATCGACTTCTCCAAGGCGTTTGACAAGGTCAAACATGATAAACTCATGGAAATGTTCAGGTAGATGCATATTGATGGCAAGGATCTGCGCATAATAACCAGTCTCTATTGGAACCAAAGTGCTGAGATAAAGATGGGCAACTTACACAGTGGGAAGATAGATATTAAAAAGGGTGTACGACAGGGATGCGTCCTCTCGCCGCTCCCGTTCAATATGTACTCTGAACAAATCTTCTGAGAAGCACTGGGAGAAGTTTCGGAGGGTATCAAAGTAAACGGAGAGGTAATCAATAATATTAGACATGCTGACGACATATACATTATCGCAAATGACTGCAACGAGCTTCAAAGACTCATGCAAAGCATACACACAGCAAGTCAAGAATATGGTTTAGAACTCAATACAACCAAAACTAAATGCATGCTCATCAGCAGAACACAACAACCTCCGATGCAATTGACATTAAACAACCGAAAAATAGAACAAGTATAGACATACACATACCTTGGTTTCACAGTCAACACAAAATGGGACCAGTCAACAGAAAAAAGATCACGAATTGAAAAAGCGCAAAACGCGTTCAACAATATGAAAAAGCAACACAAGCAAAATCTCAATGGAACTAAAATTAAGACTGGTCAAGTGTTATGTCTTCCCGGTCTTGTTCTATGGAGCAGAGGCATGGACCACAACGGAAGCCACCCTGAAGAAACTAAAATCCTTTGAACTGTTGATATATCGCCGTTATTCTTCGG